AGTGTCAGGCATACAGTGTGCCAGTGTCCCCAGGTTCCCTCCCACCCCAGCTTGCTCCCTCAGCAGACATGCCTTTGGATTTGTTTGTTATAGCTTGGATCTCCTTGGTATCAGTGTTATTGACTCTGGCTGAGATACATAAACTTCCACACCACTACTTGAGGCTGCTGTGCCCTGCCCTGTTACCTCATCGTTGTGATTGTTTTCTTTCTCCTTCACCTTTTAATTTTTGAGTTTTATTTCTTATTGTCATTATCACCCAAACAGCACATATCCAGGAAACGTTCATCTTTATTTTTTTCCCCAATATACACATAGCCCTTGTTGATCTTTTTTTTTTTTTTTTTTGCTTTGCTTTATGCGTCATACCCAGCGATACTCAGGGGTTACTCCTGGCTTTGCACTCAGGAATTACTTCTGGTGGTGCTCAGGGGACCATATGGGATGCTGGGAATCAAACCTGGGTTGACTGCATGTAAGGCAAATGCCCTACCCACTGTGCTATCATTCCAGCCCCAGCCCTTGTTGATCTTTAAAAAAAATTCAGCATTGTGAATTACAAAGTCGTTCATATTGGGTTTCAGGTGAACATGCTCCAATACTAATCCCTTCACCAGCGTCCACTCTCACTAATGTTCCCTGCTTCCCTCCTGCCTTTACATTTTAATTTTCTCTTGCCCCCACCTGCCTGCCTTTACATTTTAATTTTCTTTCCCTTTAGACACTGTGGTTCACAATACTGTTACTGATAGGGTATCATGTAAAGTGGCATCTCTTTACCTCATTTCAGCACCTCGTCCCTGTCCAGAGTGACCACTTCCCTCTCCCATTGTCATAGTGGTCCTTTCCCTGATGTCTCCCTTCTTCCCCATCAGTGGCAAACTCCCTACTAAGGACCAAATCTCCTGCTCTTTATTTCCACTGTCTTTCGTCTTCCTCTTCTTAATTAACATTTGCCTCGCTTTTTCTCTCCTGGGCAGTTCACATCCTCCCCCACCTCCCCTTTGAAAAAAATTGGGGGCTCTTGAACTGCGTCCAGCTCACTACTCCAAACAAATTTTCACTGTGCTGACTTAGAAGCTAGGAGGCTTAGCAGAATGGGCTGAATTTATGTGGGCTGCCGGGAAGTGTCTTGGAAAAAAACCAGCATTTGCTTTTTTTTTTTTCATTATGACTTTAAACTCTCAAATCAGAGTGCTGAGAATTTGTACTGGCGACGTCGCCAACCTCCCCTCCCCAGTCATCTTTATCTGTGTGACGGTCACTCCCAGGGAAGGTGTGACATGTTAGTGCTCAGGCCGAGCAGTGCTTAGGGTCCATGTCTGGAGGGGCTTCGGGGGTCAGGGGGAACCAGGGATCAGAGACTAGACTTGCCCCAGCCTCTCTTCCCTGGTGCTCTCATGGATTGCCAAATCACCTACAGAGCAGGCTAAGTACCAGGGAAGTTCCGGCTTCCTGTCAGCAGGCTTTTCACTAAGTAGAGTGTGAGGAGCAGAACTGTCTGGAAATCACCCTGGCAGCGCCACCCTCACTGCCCCTCTACATGCTAGACTACTGGTTTTCCAGAAACTCCTGTAACCAGCTGGCCACACTTCTTCCCCTCCCCACAACCCAGACTGCCCAGGCAGGCTGCCTGCAGAATCCTTCATGAGAGGGCAGCTCTTGGATACGCTGTAGGTACAGCGGAATAACGGGAATATTGTTCTTCTCCTGGAATATCAACCCATACTATGTATCAACCCATCCTCATTTGTCACTTTGTGGGATTCTGGAAATCCAAGCCTTTTTGTTCTCTGCTTCTCTTACCCCAGAATTCATCCCCAAAGAGATAACACACAGTGTCCATGAAGGGACCCAATTCGTACGACAGTCAGACAGCTGCTTGCATGCAGGTGAAAGAATATACAATATCATGCAATGGTCCTAGAAACTCAATGATATTAATACAGTGATTCAGGAAAAAATTTATACAAAAATGGCTTAATGCTTTAAATGCTTTCAAGATAATTATAAGTGCTTTCAAGATAATATATATATCCATTTAAAAAAATTCTATCTTTTATTTTCAACAAAATGGTGTGTGAATATGCTATCACGTTTGTTATCCATCGTTAACTGCTGCTTGTCCTTCGTTGTTAAACCAACATTTGTCCTGTTTTAGAAACAGACATAGCCATGTGCACACCCCATTCATTCATTCTGGCAAGAATCTCCACTGATGCCACTGTGAACACAGCTGGATTTAGGAACTTTAATTTAGCAACTTGATACAGATTCTATTAATTCTGAATGTTGAGACTCTAGGTGTATCTAGGACTCTTCTTCCAAATTCTTCTGATCCTTTAAGTCTTTTTTCTCCTCTACAGTGGTCAAATCAAAGTAACTTTTAGTAAGGAAATATTTTTTTCCAGTATGGTATCAATCTATCCTCAGTCTTATAAAACCGCACAGGTACCTAGCCTTTCATCTAGCAACCCTATTTCTAGGTATTTACTCAGGGTGAGGGCAGGGAGTGACCACAAACACAAAATAGCTGAAAAACTGGGTATCCATGGCATTGATATTGCTGGTATTTGTCAGGGAATGGAGATGAACCATAGAAATACAAGGGAACAGAGCTGAGACAGGAACTGGAGGGCTGAGCCTCCCCCCATGCCTGTGAAGGAAGACTTGCAATGAAGGCTGATGCACAGCGTGAGCCCAATTATATAAAGTTCTCAAGCAGACAAAACTAGTTTCTGGTGGAAGAAAAAATCAGAACAGGAGCTGTGTCTGGGGTTTAGGAGTGTGGAGATTTTCCAAAATGGACATGCTATGGGTGACAGTGTAGGGAGTTAGCCAGGAGAGCAGGTGGGAGGAGGTTTCTGCAGTCAGAGAGGATTAATACCTAGCACTCTCCACCCCTAACCCTAAATTCTGACAAAGAGGGGAACTGCCTGGAACCAAAGTACCCTGGGGTCTGAGATGGCAGTCCAGGAATGTCTCAAACAGAGTTATTACAGATAACACTTCCTGAGGCACAGAAGGTGTTTTTTTTTTGTCCCTGGGTTTTCCATTATGATCTAAAACCCCATGATTCCGTGCCCCTTCCTTCCCAGCATTACAAGAAAGAGAAAATTACAAATCTCCCAAAATTTGAACAAAGGAGGAAATGGTCAGATAACCCTCCAACGCAGCCTGTTTTTTTAAGACAGGGATGTTTCCACCTTTGAGGCCAGCCCGCACCGAACATCATCTGAACACTCTTTTTTCCTTTTTTTAAAAAAAAATTATTTATTTATTTTTTTACTTTTATTAGTGAGACACCATGAGGTACAGTCGTAGACTTACACATTTTTGTGCTTGGGTTTCAATTATACAATGATCAAATACCCATCCCTCCACCAGTGCCCATTTCCCACTGCCACGGATCCCAGTATCCCTCCCACTCCCCCGAGATTAGTACCAGGAATCTTTTTTCCTTTTTCTTAATAAAATAGATCAATATCCTGGGCCTTCTGGGTGAATTTTCTCTCAGTGACACAGACGCTGAGATAACACAATGCTGTCACTTTCCCCGGTAATAGTCTTTTTATAAAGACCTCAGTTATACAGTTGGATACGCATGAAAAACTCAAGAATGTTTGCTTGAAATGTGTGCCTGTTACTGAACATACCCCAAACAATCACAAACAAAATGGAACTAGTGAATGACGTCATGAATGCTGATGACTATAATTTATCCTGAAATAGGGAAGCTAGATGGTTGATGGGCGGGATGGAGGAATGGTAGATATGACAAATCAAATATACCAACATGCTGTGATAGCATCTAGTTGGCGAGGACAGCAAAATTTAGTATAAATTTGGTACGTTAAATATTTTCATAAGAGCTTTGGCTCAGTGTTTTATCTTTTCATATTTTCCTTGATCCTCCCAGTCCTGTAGGCACAGAATAGCCTAAGGCTTGTACCCCAGGTACACTTGGAGGGACACCGGACTTTCTCAACTTGGCATCTTGCCTTCTCTGTGTCACAACAGAAAGGCTCTACTCAAGATTTATTCCTTTAGAACGAGAGGGAGTTTGGTTTATCAGAAATCTATCAAATTGCAAACACTCCTAGGACTGAAAAGGCGGTGGAAAACTTCAGGGATTTACTTGTCAAATAACAGATCAATCTTTTGTTACAGTAATCGAGAGAAAGGAGATGTGTTCAAGAATGGGGTGGGGGTAGGGAAAAGCACCGAAATGTGATTTCCAAGTCTCGAAAACAAACCACACTGTCCAGGTTTGTCTGGACCAGTCTGGAAAAGCTAGATTCACTGCAAACAGCCTATGTGACAGTAGACAGCGGCCAGAATCAGGGTCGACCCCAAAGCTATGATCCCAGGACCCTTAATTCTGCGGATCTAGGGTTCAAACTTTGTAGACAGCAGGCATGTGCTCTGATCATCTGATCTGATCATCTACGGCCATACCACCCTGAACGTGCCCAATCTCATCTAGCGCTCTGATTTATTAAAGCAGCTCCTCCCTCTCGCTGTTGTGCCAAGACTGAGTTCTTCCTGCCCAGTCTATGGAAGCCGAGGCCCAGTGTCTGTTTGCTTGGAAGGATGGAAGAGAGAACAGGGAATTGAATCACTGTCCATAACTGAGTGAGACCTAGGGTCTTCATTGGAGTCCAAAACTCTATGATTTCAGAGTGGAGCCCAATGTCCAACCCAAGTGTAATACATATCATTTCTTTTTTTCTTTCCATTTAATGTGTAACTCCAGAGATATACAGGATGTGACCGTAAAGAATTCTGACTGACCCCATTTATCTCTTTCCTCTCTGGCTAAGCCTTGTCCTTGGCTGTGAAGGTAATGGAACCACCCACCACAGAGTCCTCCTGACAGATTGTGCAATTTTTGGCTCCTGAGGTTTTAGCTGAATATTCCTGGAGAAACCCTCAACTAAATAAATGGTCAGAACAGATTTTTCAAGACTTGTTTTCATTATTATTCCTAAGGTTTTATATTAAACTTGCAACACTTCACAGATATGCATGCCAATCTCACACAGGGGCCATGCTAATCTCTATTGCTCCAAATCTAGTATATGTGCGACCAAAGTGAGCACCTAAAGCATTGTATTTTTTTGGGGGGGGTTCTCCAGGGTACTCAGGGCTTTTCCTGGCTCTGTGCTCAAAGTTCACTCCTAGTAGGTCCTGAGGGGGAGGTGTGGGGTGGTGAACAAATATAGTGTTAGGGATTGAACCAGGTTCAGCTTCCTGCATAGCTATCTGGATTTTCTCCCTGGCTCAGGTATTTTTTTTACACTACATCCTGTTTATCCAGGGGCCCTCATCCTAACAGCACCATCCAGATGTACAGATGAAGGTGATTTCAAGAACCACCTGCTTCTCAAGACAGCTGAAGCAATCAAATGGCATTAAACTGAAGCCCCCAACCCTACAATCTCTGTCCTCACTTTCTGTCTTCCAATAAAAGATCCTAAGATCAATGAATGGGAGATCATGTGAGGAAGACTCCACTCTCCCGGTCTATGTTCAGATCAGGCTCTTTCTTTCTAACTTGTATCGCAGTATGATGGGTACCTAGGCCTGGGGAGACCCACAGGGTGGCCTTGTCTGGGCACAGGGCGACCTTTCTTGAGTTAGATACTCTCATAGATGCTTACTTGCATGTCACAGGCTCCAATCTTGCCTCAGAGCTATGGGTGCAAAACAGAAGTGAAACTTGCATGAATACTTTCATTTTAAAATAAAGAGCCCTAAATGATTTGCCAACTCACACAAAGCCATGGCACAAAGACTCCTGTTGCATGAAAGGAAATCACTTCTAGGCATTTACCAAGGAAAGTGCAACTCTTCGTGGCAAAGAGAGGCCTGCGAAGAGGGTAATCTCAGAATTGCTAAGAAAACCTGTGACTCCTGCTACTGAGAATGACAGAGACAGTATATTTTTATTTTATTTAATTTATTTTTTTTGCTTTTTGGGTCACACCTGGCGATGCTCAGGAGTTACTCCTGGCTCTGCACTCAGGAATTACTCCTGGCGGTGCTCAGGGGACCATATGGGATGCTGGGAATTGAACCCGGGTCGGCCACGTGCAAGGCAAATGCCCTACCTGCTGTACTATCACTCCAGCCCCGACAGAGACAGGATAGAATAATGATGACACAGTGCAAACTGCTAGTGTTTCTACCCTGTGTTGGCTATAAGCGACAAAACGGGCTCTCTCAGTGACAACCTTTAAATTAGATTACCAAGGGGCCCAAGCAATAGGCCAGCAGGCAGGTTGTGTGCCCTGCACACGGCTGACCTGGGTTCCATCCCCAGCACTGCACAGGGTCCCCCAAGTCTCGCCAGGAGTGATCCCTGAGCACCACCAGGTGTGACCCCCAAGCAAAAATTTACAATTTTATTTACCTAAGGGCTGGAGCTATAGCGTAGCAGGTAGGGCGTTTTCCTTGCACGCGGCCAACCTGGGTTCGATTCCTCCGCCGAGTATCTCGTCCACACAGCAAAGCATGGCAAGCTCCCCGTGATGTATTAGATATGCCAAAAACAGTAACAACAAGTCTCACAATTTTTTGTGAGACCTTACTGATGCCTGCCTGAGCAAATTGACGAAGGGGAGGACAGTGCTACAGTGTAGCGCTATTCATCTAAATAATTGTTGAAATTTTAGAAAAATACTTATTTCTATTTGTTGAGATTTATTTCCCCCGAGGGCCCTACTGGGTTTGGATTTCCACCCCTGGTGCTTGCAGAGGGAGATGCAGGTGGTGGAAGTGACCACCCCCCCTACCAGCGGGGCACTGGCCTGTGTGGTGTGAGTGGGGGCAATGCCTCCTTCAGCTCTGCCCCGCGCCTTCCCCTGGAAGAGCCGTGACACAGTTTTCTCTTTGAAGCACGGGACATCAAGACAAAGTGTGGTCAGTTTTCATCTCCATTTATACGGCACCCCGTCTCCGCGGCCTGCGACCCCCAGCGCCTCAAAGGGCCTCCGCGTCCACGTGCCCAGAGCTGGCCCGGCAGGCGGGGGCGGACAGTTTGAAGGTGCAGCTGCCCTTATTTGCTACAGAGCGTCCTTTTTGCTCCTCTTGCCGCTTTTAGCCCCAGGGAGAGACAGAGGGAGGAGTCTTGATTTTCCTTGTTAATCTGCTCCTGCTGGTAGCTCAGCCAAGATCAAAAACTGCTTGTGATGTGGCCATTTAAAAAAATTTTTTTTTTTCCCAGACAGGAGCATATTATGTCATTTCATGGGTAATAGGATGACAATTCAGCTTAGAAAAAGTTTTGACCAACAACTCTGGAAGCACGGGAAAAATGAGGACAGAGAGGATGACTGTGATGAACAAAATAGTCCTTAGTGCAGAAATACAGAGGAATCATGTTTCTCAAAAGCAGAGCTTCTTCTCTGCTGTTTAATGACTTGCAGTCTCCTCAGCAGTCTCTCTGGGGCTGGTTAGGGCCCTGATGTTTGGATTTTGAACACTGTCACCCAGATCCTCAGTCCTCAGACTCCAGTTTGGCTTAGCCCTCCCTGGGTCCTCTTTGGTCTTCAGGGAACCAAGGTTGGAGGCTGCATGGGTTTAACCGAATATCGCAGATCAATTTGCTGGAGCCCACTTGCCCCCAGGCTATGAATGCAGTCTTAGCTGGATATCTGTCCTTGCAGATGTAGCCAAGCTGTTACTGAGGTTATTAGAGTGACCCCAGTCCAGTAGAACTGCGATCCTCCCGGAAGTCAAGCCAGTGGGAAGGACGCAGGAGGGAAGAACACGGTGTGACCACAGGGAAGAGACTGAAGTGTTGCAGTTGCCAGCTGAGAAGGCCAAGGTTGCTGGAGGTCTGCCAGGGTGGGGGAAGTAGCCAGGCAAGATCCACCCGAAGGTTTCTGAGGTCTGAGGCCTTGATTTTAGACTTCTGGCCTCAAGAACTGAGGTGCAATCCATTTCAGTTATTTCATTTTATTCTTTTTTTTTTTTTTGGCTTTTTGGGTCACACCTGGCGATGCACAGGGGTTACTCTTGGCTCTGCACTCAGGAATTATTCTTGACAGTGCTCAGGGGACCATATGGGATGCTGGGAAGTGAACTCAGGTCAGCTCCGTGCAAGGCAAATGCCCTACCCTCTGTACTATGGCTCCAGCCCCTCAATTGTTTTAAGCATTTGGTTTGTGGTGCTTTGCTTCAGCAGGACAAGCAAATAAGTACTTAAGGTTTGGGGCCTAAAAGGGTGGAGAAGGTGGGGCCCTCAGGGCTTAAATCACGTGGTCTGGTTCTGGTTTCTGCCGGGACAGGGGTGTATGCTTCGTCTCGCTATTTGCAGCACATCTGCCTGTAGTTTAGGGCCTGCAAATGATGTTATAAATGTCCAAATGGCCGTTGGGAGGAAACAGATTCTGCACCCCCTGCGAGGGCAAGCTGTCTATGGCTACACTGCTGGTGTCGTGGTGTCAGCACCCAGGAGCACGTGGGCCTGTGAGGCTCATTCCACAGTTCCTGCATTGCTCTGTGTGCTCTGGTCCTCTCTGATGGCACAGCTGAGCTTCTGTGCTTTCTTACCTCGTTTTGGTTTTGTTTTGGAATTCTATCATTTCCCTGCAATACATTTTTCTTGTCTTCCCCTGTTTTATTTGGAAAATTTTGAATGCTACAGATAAGTTAATAAAATACAATGAACACGCATAGTCCCTTCATGTAGATACACCAATTAACCTTTTGTTCTCTCTCTCTCTCTCTCTCTCTTTCTCTCTCCATATGCATAATTTTTTTTTTTTTGCCTTTTGGGCCCACCTGGCGATTCACAGGGGTTACTCCTGGGTCTGCACTCAGGAATTACCCCTGGCAGTGTACAGGGGACCATATGGGATGCTAGGAATCGAACCCGGGTCAGCCACATGCAAGGCAAATGCCCTACCCACTGTGCTATTGCTCCAGCCCCCATATGCATAATTTTGAGCCATTTCGAAGGTGGAAAGTCAAGACATTTCAAATCAAAACTGTTTCAGTTTGATTACCAAAGTACAAAATAAAATTTCATATCAATCAAAGATTTAATTTTTTTAATTATGTTTTAGAGTTACATTAAGCTGTGCCTGGAAGTCTATGGGGTTCTGGGGACTGAACCCAGACATACCACACATACAAAGCATGCATTTTCAACCATTGAACTATTTCTCTGGTCCAGGCTCAAGGAATTTATCGCTGATAAAAAATATGATCTTCAGAAACAAATTTAAATTTCTTTAATTTTACCCCAAATGTCTCTATATGTTCTTTCTTTCCTCCTCCTCTCTCCTTTGCTTCACTCTGGACCCAGCACCCCAACACTTAGCTTTAATTTTAGTCTGAAGTGGCTCCTTATATATAATTTTTCCCTTTCACAGCCTGAAATTTTCAAGGAGTGTAACTGCCTTGTACTATGTCCCTCAATCTGGACTGTCTGCTGTTTCCCCTCAAGATTTGATTCTGGTTAAACATTTCTTGGTAATAATATTACCTAGTTTATGCTCTATTTTGCTTTTCATCAGGTAGAACATAACATCGGCCTATAATCACCAGTATTGATGTTGAAGATTCACTGGGGACAAAATTAGCTGCCAGAGCTCACACTGTAAAGAAACTATTTTTTCTCAGTGTAGTTTTGGGGTGATTTGGGTTCACACTCAGTGGAGCTCAGGGCTTATTTCTGGCTCAGTGTTTAGGAATCATTTGTTATAATGCTTGGGGGACCATATGTGGTGCTGGGGATCCAATTACATTTAGTGGCATGTAAGGCAAGCACCTTGCCTCCTGTACTATCTCTCTGGCCTGGAGAATTATTCTGAACTACTTCACAGAGTACATTTAACATGTTCCTGTTTTTCTGTGGGTGGGGAGCATACCCGGCTGTACTCAAGGGTTGCTCCTAGCTCTGTGCTCAGGAGTGATCCCAGGAGGTACTGGGGTACCATATGTGGTATGAGGGATCAAACAGGGTCAGCTAACTGTAAGGCAAGTATCTTAACCTCTGTACTCTTTCCAGCCCTTAACATGTTTTGACAAGAGGTGATGAAGTAGAGAGTTAAGGTGAAAAATGAACCCTGTCCTTTACAAATTGCCAGAC